AAGGAAACCAAAAACAAAAAAAAAACAGAGGAAGGGAACAAACTGAAAGTGATATTCACCCCAACGCATACAAACAAACACACACACATACACACAGTGACTGCAGTCGCACGCCGTTGTGCGACTCTGTCCATGTGCAGCGCAACTGAAGCCGTGAGTCGTGACGCTCCTAGAATGACTTTTCAATGTCCAATAAACGTTGCCGCAGCTTGCCGGACGCCCTCCGAACAGTTTCTTCGTATTCCCTGTAGGCAGCTAACCGCTGGTGGTCTTTTCTGCGCAACTGCGCAATGGCTTCAGCGCCTGTTTCGCCAAAATGCCCCTCGTTTGTGCAATCTGCACTACAACGAGGGGAGCTAACATCAGCGGCTGCACCAGCCCGAGGCTCAAACGTGGCGGCCTCCTCGTGTGCCTCCGAACGTGGGGGGCGGAAGCCTCCGGAAGCAGCAGCCGCAGACGGCTGCTCCCCAAGCTGATTTGTGCTTTCGCGCGCAACCAATATGGCTTGCAGTCTCGTCTCTCGGTAGCGTTTGTAGGCCTGCTGTATTTCTTCCTCGTCAGGTGGTTGGTACGCCTCGCGGGCAGGGTTTTGGGGAGCACCCGTCACAGCATCCTCTCCTTGACGGAGAGTGGCCGGAGTAGGCAAAGGCGGCGGCGGCGGCGGCTGTTGCTGCGGCTGTTGCTGCGGCTGTTGCTGCTGCCCCGGCTGCGGGGCGGCGTGGAAAAATTGCACAGCTGCGTTCGCCCGCCGCATTTGCAGCATAAGGTCAGCCCTGCAGTACGGGCACGTCGACATCCCCTCAAACCAGCGTCGCAGGCAGTGTTCGTGGTAGCAGTGGCCGCAGGGGAGTTGCTTGCAGTTTTGCTCCGGCTTCATTTCGTCCTGGCAAATGGCGCAGCAGGAGTCGCGGGCCAACACCTCCGCTGTCGCGTTTTTCATGCTGTGCACGAACCTCGTCAGCGTGAGGTACGTCAGCAGGCTCTGGACCCTATTGATGACGTCCACCACGCTCGTGATCAGCACCCGCAGCAGCGGGAATGGCGCCTGGGACACAAGACACACGAACGCAAAGGAGACGATGAAGACGCCACTTTTAAGGATGGAAAAGAAGAGCTCGGTGTAGAAGGCGAACGCGCCGTGTTCGGACTCCTCCACCACCTCCGCGAAGAACAAGCGCACGAGGAGGTTGACGTTAGATATGGCGAACTGCAGGTACATGATGGCCGCCGAGTACTTGAGCGTTAAGTACGCATCCGGCTGCCTTGCGGTGTTCACAAATACATCTAAGACAAAGTACAGGTCCAGCGGCATGGCCATCAGAAGGAAAAGTGTCAAGCCGCACAGCATGCAGCGCCGCTCCCTCGGCGATTCCACAATGTGAAGCGTCGTGGTCCGTTCTCGCGCGACGTCGTGCAGCAGGGCCAACACCACCGTGAACAGCGCGGCCACGCCGCACGTGCCAAGCAGCTCCACCCCGAAGTAGAGAGGCCCCACAACACACTCGGCGATGTGCAACGGGACAGAGCCGCGCATCAACTCCCTTTCGGTGTGGCTCAACTTGCCGAAGAAAACGCGACACGCGATGAGCCAAAACAATAAGGCGCTCGCGATGAAGGCATTGACCCCCAGCAGACGGAAGAGCGAGGAGTTGGTCAGCTCCACCACCGTCGTGAAGTACTCGCGGTAGACGTGGGCGTAGTCCAGAGCGAACACCACAGGCGCCAGAAAACTGAGAAATATGTATGCGTTGAGCGAAAGCATCTTCCTCCTAGTATATATTTATGCCTATGTATGTATGTGTGTGTGTGTGTATATATATACTTTATTGCCCCTTCGTTCCGTATTCACTCACGCGGAGCCAACGCCGCTCACTAAGGGAGGCATCAATGCAGCAAAGAAGTAGTAGCCAGCAATAATCTCGTTACTCACAATTCATGCATGCTTTTTTTTCGTTTTTTCGTGTTTTGTCGTGCAACTTCCGGCTCTCTCAAATGAGGAGCGGCGGCGGCGGCGCCTCACCAGCAGCCCAGCACGGACAACGCGCCACAGGCGCGGGGGAGCGAGGGACGAGAGAGCACCCACACACACCCACGCGCAGCTTAACCGCCCTCGCCACGTCGGCAAAATACGTTTCATACGCTTAGGTGGGCGACGCCTGAACGAAGCGACGTAGCCGCAGCAACGCCATCCGTGCCGCCTGCGCTCTCTCCTCTACTTCACTGAGTCGCTGCGCCGCCGCCACGACAGCCGGCGGAAGCCCCGCCATGCGTGCCACCCGCACGCCAAAGCTGGACGGCGTCACGCCCGGCGTTGGCTTGTACGTAAAGACTAGCTTGGCCTCACCCTCGCCCGCCCCACTTCGCTCCTCACGAAACCCCATAAAATAGCACGCCACACGTTTTCCCTCGGCGGCGGGGTGGCGGTACGGTTCGCAGAGATGTGTGTAGTGCGTCACGAAGAGTGTCGTCGTGCCGCGCTGAAGCAGGTATTCCAGCGTTGCCGCAGCGACGGAGACGCCGTCAAAGCTGCTTGTGCCCCTCCCCAGTTCGTCCAACAACACGAGTGAGGACGGCAAGTGCGGCGAGCGCAGAATGCGGCTTGTCTCCTCCATCTCCTTCAAAAAGGTGGAGGCCCCCTCGAGCAGAGAGTCCGTTGCCCCCATGCGGCAGTACACGGCAGTGAAGAGGGGCAACTGCGCCGCAGTCGCCGGAACGTAGCAACCGAGCTGCGCCATGATGACAAAGGTGCCAACCATGCGCATAAGGGCAGACTTGCCGCCCATGTTGGGGCCAGTCAGGATCCACGCCCCACCTTTTGCCAGGCAAACATCGCAGCTCACGTAGCCGCCCTCCAAAATGCTGTCTAGCACTGGATGGCGACCGCCAACAATCTTCAGACACGCCGCAGCCTCAGAGAGCTCAGGCGCAGCGTAGCCAGGGGAGGACGATGTCACCGACAGGCAACGAATCGCATCCAAAACGGACACCGCATCAATAACAGCCTGAAAAACATTCATGGCGGAAGAGGCGTTCGCCAATTCCTCTTGCTTTTGCTGCCATGCCTCTCTTGCCGCGACAAGAAGACGTTCTCGCGCAGAGGAAAGCGCAACATTGCTATCAACAATGTTTGACGTGTGAAACCGCACATGACTTTTGGTCCGCGTCAGCACCAACCAGTCCTTTGGGACACGGCCGCACTTTGCCTGTGGCACATCCACAATAAACGGCGTCCCTGCAATGGTGCGATACTCCAACTCCGGCATACGCAGTGTCCGGCGAACGGACTCCAGCTCCTCGTCAAGGGCGCGTAGTGCCTCGTCAGAAGCCTTTAAGTGTGTCTGCAAGGCAGCGGGGGTAGAGACGCCAGGCGAGGTGAAATATTCCAACGGGGAACTCGCGTGAGAGTCCATTTCAGACTTACAGGACTGAAGAAAAGTGGTCGTCTCCACGGAAGTGACGCTCTGCAAGGTTTCGCAAATAAGCTTGTCCATGTGCCCGTGAGTACGGGCCAATATGGCACACGCGAGCGTATGCGCCGTGTCCACGGCGCGCAGAAGCTGGATGTACTCCGCAATTGTGCAACGCTGCGCCCGCACCTTTCCCAGGGCTGCCTCAATGTCGCCAAACTTGGCGCACTCACGAAGCAAACCCGTCACGGCGTTGGCCTCCTCGCCACGCAGTAAAAATGACACGGCGTTTCGGCGTGACAGGATGGTGTCCATGTCGCACGGCGGCGCGGACAGCCACAGTCGCAGGCGTCGCACGCCGGGAAGGGTGAGGCTGTGGTCAAGCAGCGCCAGCAGGGAGCCCTTGGCGCCGATGCTGCTGTGAAAAACGTCCAGTGCACCCAATGTGCTGCCGGGCAACTCCATCGCCTTCTTCGCACCCTCGCCGGCGCCTTTCAGGGGCACCGGCTGGCCACCCTCCGCGCACATCTTTTCGTACACTCTATTCAGCTGATAGGGGGCGAGGTACTTTGCAATCGCCTCGTCCACGGAGCCAACGCACTCAAAGGTGGAGAGAGAAATCGAGCGGTCGTCCTCCTCGCCGTTAACGGTGGGGCCAAAATGCAGCGGAAGCACCTTGTTGAGGCATGAGGCGTACACCTCCGGCAAGCACTGCAGAGACGACGGGGCGGGTGAAATTCCATTCGCCGGCGTCGCCGGGTGGGGCGCAGAAAGGAGAACCAGCTCCACAATATCGTAGCGCTGCAGGATGTCCAACAGCTCCACCTCGGACGCCACACGGTGACGCCGTACGGTGTACGTGACGAAGCTGACGAGTGTCACATCCATCGCCGGAACTCCCGGCGCCGGCGGCGACAACAACGCTGATGCGGGCGGCTTTAGAAAACACATGAACAACTCCGAGGACTCTTCCTTCACGGGGGCACCCACACCGTCTGGCTCCGGCCCGTCATCCTCCGCCCTGCCCTCCGCCGCATCTGCCTGATCCGCCGATGGAGCGGCTTGAGACGCCGTCGTGGTCGTGGTCGTGGTGGTGGCGTCACCGATGACCTCAGACGGCAGCAGTGTGCCCCGGCTACACACCCGCGCGACCTCTCGCGCGAAAATGCCCTTCGCGGCCCCGTCGGTTGTGCGAATGGAGGCGTTCTCCTGTTCAGCAAACGCCACGCGGTAGCCCATCGCCACAAGGCGGTGAACGTAGAGATTGACCCGCACATACGGTATACTACTTGACTCGAAAGGAGTAGTGCCAATGCACATGATTCCCAGGCGGCGGCTCGCCACACGGCTATCGCGACCGTAAAACTTCACACGATAGCCACACGCCACCATCAGCACGACGTCGTGCGGCAAAGACTCCTTAAGCCGAACCACCTGTTTCTCAAGCGGCGTCAGCGTCAGCGCCTTCACCTCGGTGGACCCCACGGGACGCTGGCAGACAAGCTCAACGGCGTGGCGCACAGCCGCCGCCTCGTCGTCCCGCTGCCGCTTGCTCATCACAAAATTATCACCGCAGCCTTTCCTGGCGCCCCCAAGCCCCCCAAGACGCAACACGGCAATGTAGCCCAGATAAAAAAGGAGAGAAGGACCAGAGAGGGGTGGAAGGACACAAAACCCGCACAGAAACATATACAGATATATACATATATATGTATATACGTATGAAGATAAGGACAGCACACAGAGAGTGAAGGAGGCACAGAGGCGACAGCTCAGATGAACAGAATAGGGGAACTGAGTTTCCAAAAGAAGGAAGAAGACACTCAAATCAGTCCCTCAGAAACAGAGAGGAAAAAAAAAAGCCTCATGCCGCGACAACGCGTTAGAGGGAGTTATAATAAGGGACAAAAGTAAAAAAAAAAAAACTAACTCCAAAATATAAGTCGCAACTGTATATAGACACAAACATCTCATATATATTTCATTGCCTTTTTTTCTGTTTGTTTCAGTTCCATACCTGCCGTGCTTCACTTCCTCGGCCAGCCGCAACAAGGGCAAGAACACGAAATGGACAAAAAAAAAAAAGCAAAGGGTGAAATGCTT